GAAGAAAGGAACAAAGAGAAACTACAAGACAACCAGAAAACTATTAACAAAATGGCAATAAGTGCATACCTATCAATAATCACATTAAATGTAAATGGACTAAATTCTTCAATCAAGACAGTGGCTGAATAGATTAAAAAAAAAACATCTACATGCTGCCTATAAGAGACTCACTTCAGAGGTAAGGATACACACAGACTGAAAGTGAAGTAACTGAAAAATAATGCTTCATACAAATGGAAACCAAAAGAGAGCTGGGGTAGCTTACTTATATCAGACAAAATAGACTTTAATACAAAGACTGTAATGAAAGACAAAGAAGGGCCTTACTTAATGATAAAGGGGCAAATCCCACAAGAGAATATAACATTTGTAAATATTTATGCACCCAACATATAAGTACCTAAATAGAAAAAGCAAATATTAACAGACCTAAAGGAAGAAACCGACAGCCATACAACAATAGTAAGGGTGTTAACACCCATTTAAATCACTGAATAAATCTTCCAGACAGAAAATTGGTAAGGAAACATTGGCCTTAAACAACACAATAGACCAGATGAACTTAATACATACAGAACATTCCAACCAAAAGTAACAGAATACACATTCTTCTCAAGTGCACATGGAACATTCTCCAAGATAGATCCTATGTTAGGCCACAAAACAAGTCTTAATAAATTTAAGAAGACAAATTATATTAAGCATCTTTTCCAACCATAGTGCTGTGAAACCAGAAATAAATTACAAGAAGAAAAATGAAAAATAGAAAATATGTGGAGATTAAACATACTACTGAACAACCAGAGTCAACAAAGAAATTGAAGGAGAAATTAAAAAATACCTTGAGACAGATGAAAATGGAAATACAATATTCAAAAACATATAGGAGGGAGTAGAAACAGTCCTGAGAGGGAAGTTCATAGCAAGACAAATCTATATTAAGAAACAAACATCTCAAATAAACAACTACCTTTCCACCTAAGGAAATAGAAAATACCAAATGAAGTCAAAAGTTAGTAGAAGGAAGGAAATAACAAAAACTGGAATATAAATAAATGGAGTAGAGACTAGTAAGGAGGCTTAATCAGTAATCAAAAACCTCCCAACCTCCCAAAATACAGAAGTCCAGGACCTGACAATTCACTGGTGAATTCTACCAAACATTCAAAGAACATTTAAAACCTATCCTTCTCAAACTCTTCCCCAAAAAAGAAAAGGGGGGAATAGAAAATGCTTCCAAACTCATGTTATGAAACTAGGATTACCCTAGTAACAAAACAAGACAAGGACACCGCAAAAAAAAAAAAAAAAAAAAAACAATATACCTGATAAACAAAGATGCAATGAATTCCTAACAAAATATCAAAATATCAGCAAACCAAATGCAAAAATACGTTAAAATGATTCAGCAACACACAATGATCTAGTGGTATTCATTACAGGGATACAAGGATGGTTCAAAATCTGCAAATCTATCACTACATTAACTATATATACTATACAAATGATACACTACATTAACAAAGGTTTAAAAATCACATGATCACGTCAACAGATACAGAAAAAGCATTGACAAAATCTAGTATCCATTCATGATAAAATTCTCATCAAAGTGGGTATAGAGAGCACATATCTTAACATAATAAAAGCCATACAACAAGCCCACAGCTAACATCAGTGAAAAACTAAAAGTTTTTCCTCTAAGATCAGAAACAAGACAAGGATGCCCACTCTCATCACTATTATTCAACATAGTATTGGAAGTCCTAGTCAAAGCAATTAGGCAAGAAAAAGAAATAAAAGGCATCAAAACTGAAAACAAAGAAGTTAACCTATCACTATTTGTGAAAAGCATCATTTTATATATAGAAAACCCTAAAGACTCCACCAAAAAATGGAATGTAAATTGGTACAGCCATTTTTTGCCAAGAGAGTACATCATAAACTGTCTTCTTTATACAAAACAGTATGGGGGTTCTTCAAAAATTAAAAATAGAACTATCATATGATCCAGCAAATTCCACTCTCAGGTATATATGCAAAGAAAACAAAAACACTAATTAGAAAAGATGTGTGTGCCCCTATGTTCCCTGCAGCATTATCTACAATAGCCAAGATATGGAAGCAACTTAAGTGTCCATCTATGGATAAATATTATATATTTTATAACGATATATATATATTATAAATATATATGTATATATGTATGTGTGTGTGTGTATTCACACAGTGAAATACTACTCAGCCTTAAAAAAGAATGAAATCTTGCCATTCACAGCAACATGGATCGACCTTGAGGATATTATGCTAAGTGAAACAAGAAAGAGAAAGTCAAAGACCATATGATTTCACTTATATGGAGAATCTAAAAAAAAAAACAAAACAAAACTCATTGATACTGATAATAGAATGGTGGTTGCCAGCAGGAAGGACAATTGGGGGGGATAGATGAAATGGGTGAAGAGGGGCGCCTGGGTGGCTCAGTTGGTTAAGCGACTGCCTTCGGCTCAGGTCATGATCCTGGAGTCCCAGGATCAAGTCCCGCATCAGGCTCCCTGCTCAGCAGGGAGTCTGCTTCTCCCTCTGACCCTCCCCCCTCTCGTGCTCTCTCTCTCTCTCATTCTCTCTCTCAAATAAATAAATAAAATCTTTAAAAAAAAATGGGTGAAGAGGTGAAGAGGTACAAACTTCCAGGTATAAAATAAGTAAGTCATAGGGGTGTAATATACAGCACGGTGACGCCTGTCAATAATATCGTACTGTATTTTTGAAAGTTGCAAAAAGAATAAATCATAAAAGTCCTCATCACAAGAAAAAAAAATTTTTGCAACTTTGGATGGTGATGGATGGTAACTAGATTTATTGTGATTATTTCACACTGTATACAAATATCAAATCATCATGTTGTACACCTGAAACTAAAATAATGCAATATATCAGTTATACATCAATTAAAAAAAAAACAGAAAATAAACGTTAGAGAGGATGTGAAGACATCTGAACACCTGTACAACACTGGTAGGACTATAAAATGGAACAGCCACTACAGAAAACAGTATGGCAGTTCCTCAAAAAATTAAAAATAGAATTACCATGTGATCCAGCAATCCCACTTTTGGGTATATATCAGAAGAACTGAAGCAGGATCTCAAAGAAATATCTGCACATCCATGTTCACAGCAGCATTTTTCACAATAGCCATGAGGTAAAATCAACCCAAATGCCCACAGACAAATGAAGGGATTAACAAAATGCAGGATGCACCTATAATGGGATATTTTTCAACCTTAAAAAGAAGGAAATGCTATCACGTGCTACAATATGGATGAACCTTGAAGATATTATACAAAGTAACAAAAAGACAAATCCTGGGGCACCTGGGTGGCTCAGTCGGTTAAGCATCTGCCTTTGGCTCAGGTCATGATCCCAGGGTCCTGGGATCGAGTCCCACATCAGGCTCCTTGCTCAGTGGGGAGCCTGCTTCTCCCTCTCCCTCTGTCCCTCCCCTGCTCGTGCACTCTCTCGCTCTCTCGCTCTCTCCCAAATAAATAAAATCTTAAAATAAAAACAAATCTTGTATGATTCCACTTATATGAGATATCTAAAGTAGTCAAACTCATAAACTCGAATGGTGGTTGCCAGTTGCTAGGTGGGGAGGAGCTGGGAATTGTTTAATAAGCACAGTGTCAGTTGTGCTTGATGACAAAGTTGTGACAATATGCTCCACAACAATGTAAATATACATAACACTACTGAACTGTACACTTAAAAGTGGTTACAATGGTAAATTTTATGCTGTGTTTCCTACCACAATTTTTTAAGGCAACAAGGCATAGGCAGTAATTGACATACATGAGGTTATGAAGTCAGAATTCATAGTCTTGAAGTATAGACAAGATTCAGAAAAGGAGAAGAGAGGAAAGTCCAGGTGGAAGACCCAACCTATTCAAAGGTATTTGGAGGAGAATAGCAAAAATTCAGGTGACAAGGCAAAGAAGAACAGAGTGGCCCAGATGAAACTAGAAAAGTAGACTGAAGATCATTTGGTAAGGTGGTCAGTACTCAACGAGAGAGTCTCTGAGGTGACAGTAAAATAAAGCTCTGGCCAGACAGAGCAGAGGTGAGACAATGTCATCAGGAACAACTTACAAGACTGCTCAGTGCTGACCAGAGAAATCTGGTTTATGGCAAATAAAATTCAGATAGATTATTTCTAGACATCGTGTAGGCACATGTGAGATGGGACTCCACAGGAAACCAAATCAGTTGAGTTTCCCATAAATGAAGACATATCCTAGAAAACCTTTCAAAGCCGGTATGGACCTACATTACCTTTGAATTGTATCAAGGTAAAACTTTCCTCACGCCAAATGCTTTAGGAAGAGGAATTATCTCTTATATCCTTCATCCAAAGTTTAGCTTTATGCTCACAGGAGGCATATATAAGTAATTGGGCAACAAATGCTCATTGTTTATTGCTGAATGTTTACACGGCTATGCTAAACACTCGAAACTATGAATAAAAGATAAATCCTAAATATCACAAAAAGCAGTATATTCATAAAATCATACTAACTATGAAAGACAAAGGAGAAATTTCTATTATTTCCCACCTGAAAAGTAAGGTTAATAATTTCATACTTCTACCTTAATCAAAAAATAGAATTTCAAAATGTATACTTCAAATAAATACTTGTCACCATTACTGAATATGTGATATTGATAGGGACTTTTCATACTATAAAAAATTATTTTGAAAAAACATTTTATACTTTTAGAAGATATTTAACTACAGTTTAAACTTGAAGGCTTTGTCTACAAATATTTACATGTAGTTTTACTTAAATTATCATTTTTGAATTCCCAAACCATAATCTAGAGTTTTGCCTTCAAAGCTACTAGAGGTTAAAAGATTTTTTTAAATGCCCTTGTGAGGTCACAGAGGCTGCCAAGAGGCCAGTAAGGGAAAGCAGACCTCACTGTCTGAATGTCAATTATCCAGCCCCTGGGCACTTGCTCACAGAATGCCACAGCTTAAAATCATTATAAAGATAGCATTAAGACAATTAAACAAATTACTTGGAATCAAGAGTACTTAAAATCTATCTTTAACCTGAATAAAAGGTACCAGAGGACAACCTCAGAAATTGAGGGAAATTACAGAAAAGTGTTACAACATGAGTAAGTACTCACTGGTTTTCTTCTTGCAATTTAGTTTTTCAAGCATTCCAGAATCAAACCTTAGGGTATTTCAGCAATGCATACAAACTAAAGAAGGCCTTAAAGTATTTTAGTAATGCCCAACACTCAAAATAGTTTGTGTATATAGTAAACTAAGTTGTTTAAAAATTGTTGACGATTCAGTATCCTTACTGAAGCAATCAATCCTTTTTTATATGTGTTTACCATGTATGATTCCTTAAAACAGTGGAGTATTAAAGATCCTTTTCTCCAGCATGAAATTATAAGTGAATATATAATACATTATTAAATCCTGAAGTCCAGAAAATCCTATAAAGGAGATCCTGAGGTAAAGCTATTAAATTATTTTTCAGAATAAAAATAATCTACAGACTACAGAGGGACAGAGGGGAAAACATCACAGATTCCCTTCCCTTTTAGAAGTATATATATGTCTGTATATGTGTATATATATACCTATATATGAATACTTATGTGAAGTGTATATATACATATATATATAAATACTTATATGAAGTATATATATATGTATGTATACACACCTCATAAATCAAACAGGACATTGACAAAATAGTAATAATCCTGAAGGTTAAAATATTTATATATAAAATTATGAAGTAAATGCCAATCCTTAAAAGAGCAGAAAGGATTAACAGTTCCAACTTCCAAATATATCCATATTTTACTATATCAAGAATAATAGCTTTACAAAGGTATATACATTAGCTTATTTAATCTTCACAACAAGCACACAGTATACTCAACATAGAACACAATGCAGAGCAGTAATGAGCCAAGCTGTGGAGTCAAACAGTCCCTGGGTATGAATATCAGCTCTGGTATTATTGGCTGTATGATCTTGGGCAAGATGCTTAACTTCTCCAAGCCTTGGTGTCCTCACTTGTTAATGCGGATAATAATGCCTAGCTCACATGTACTGTAATAGTTAAAGAAGAAAATGCACATGCAGCACATGACATAATCCTTCTGTCACATACATACACATATACACACACACACATGCAATCATCGCTGTTTACAGGTAAGTGTCCTTGTAAACTATAGAGTCTACTTGACAAAGGTGCTTATTCATCCCCTAGTGTAGGCTATTTCCATTGTCCATAATTGCTTGTCAGGAGCCTACCACAAGACACCTTCCAATGCTGACATGGGAAATCCCAAACCGAGTCAAGTTAACCTTCTTTGTATCATCTCAGTTTTAAAGAAAAAAGCTCCCAGAGTAAGACCAGAATCCATAGCAAGACTTTCGGTTATGTTGGAGCAATTATCAACTTGCTGTGCTAATAGAGGATAATTTTTGCCAGAAGAATATCAAGTGCAAAGACAATGCAAAAGTCTCATTGTAACAGAAACTTTTAAATTTACTCTCACATACTCAAGAATGTTTCATTAAACGATGAAACATTATATCATTTCTTTTTCTTCCCAATTCTCCATTCTCTAAGGTATAACAAAACAAGCCAAAGGAGAGAGAAGAGAAAAAAAAAAAAAAAAGCTAAGGATGCTATTAATCCAAAATATGCACGGAACTTAAAGCTGACAGTTTCTAGTATAATAGTAATTCCATAATGACCATACAGCAAATAGCATAACCAAGTAAAGATGTTCTCTATCACAAGTGGTAAAATTGGAGTTTTTTGTTTGGTTGAAACATTTCAAAAAATCTTGGCTGGAAATAGAAAGGGAAGTCAATATACTGAGAGCTACATCGGCAAGACACTACACAGACACAGTGATTAAAAACTAGTGTGTGACTATGATGGTCCTTGAGAGCCAAAAACCCATTCTTCGGGACTGCATTCCAAGTTTAGTGGAAGAAAATCACAAAAACAAGTCCAAATACGGCACTAAGTTCACACTGCAGGAAGACTGAAATGAATTTTTATCCAAAGGTTTAAAAGAAAAATTTAGTTAAGACTGGTCATAGTTTATAAAAATAGAATTTTAAAAGGCTGTTAAGAACAACAAGATAAATTTCTTTTCCTTAAAATCTAAATTTCTCCGCAGCTTCTATAAGTAACGTAAATTTTTAAACACACAATGCACATTTTCAACCCTACTGCCCCTAAGGCTTGCTAAATATCACTTGAAAGCACTACTGAAAATTTGTTCAATCTTAAAGATAGGAGTTATGCTTTACACAAATATTGACCAGAGCTCAAACAGGAAAGAGGTGCCACTGTTCTTTACAACCATTCATTCAGCTTTGCATCTTTAGAAAAAATAAAAGCCAAGCATATATAAAACATGTACCATTTTATAAAAACTAAAATTTTAAAAGAAATGCTTAGGTGATGTCAAGGAAAATGACAATTAAAATGTTACCAGTTAGGAAAAGTTTTTGTACTTAAAAACACAGTCACATTTTATTTTATAACAAGTAAAAGTGAGTCTTTCAAAATCAAACAGGCCTTTTGAACCCACACAATATAGATGGAATAATTTCAGTTAAATCTAAAAGAAGATAAATAGATACTACCTGGTTAAAGCAGAGCCCAGATGCAAAGCTGAACGCTGAAGATACATGCTATCTGAATAGCATAGATTTAGCCCAAGTAGTTCAGATTAAAGAGCTGGCCATATATACTTAAAAGTCTACATTTGATCATTTAAGAAAGGCCTAAAAGAAGAAAGGGTATGTCAACATGTGATCTGGAAGAAATTTTAGCATCACAGGAAAAGTCTGACTTTCTTCTGGTGCTTAGTTTTATAAAGGAAAAAGGTTTGAGGGGGGAAAAAAGTGTAAAATTGTTTTCATACAATATGTGAATAATGAATCTAGACTTTAAAAGAAAAGCTATGGAGGTTTTATCTTTTACATTATGAAAAAATAAAATGAAACTTACAAATTATCATTCCAACTGTGTGTGTGTGTGTGTGTGTGTGTGCGCATAAGATGGTAAGAAATTAACTTAGACAAATCACAGCTTTCTTAATTAAAAGAGGTTTTAGAGAAATTTAAGATACAGTCTTTGCGTCTGTCCTCAAAGTGCTCGAACACTTAACTTTTAAATAATTACTCCATGGAGACTCCTACTACTATGTAAATAAGCAGTACTAACAAGAAATTAAAAATTACAGAATAAATTAAAGTGCAACATGCAATCCATCATGTCCAGTCTACCAAACTGGGAATCCCTAAGATGAAATATTTGTCTAAATAAATTATAAAGTCACTAGTTGAACATAAATACCCATCTTCTTTTCAATACTTTTGATTAATAAGAAGTCAGATGCATTCCCATAAATTGAAACACTACTCTCATGTTCCAAGAATATTTTTACCCTTTTCATGGCAATAAGCATTGGTTTTGTCTTCCTTCTGCCTAGAATGGCCTTTCTGTCAGATATAACTGTTAAAGTCATGTTGATCCTTCAACACTGAAAACAAAGGATATTTCTTGGTCCCTTCAAAGGAAATGTGATCCTGGTAGATCATGATCCTGTTAAATTTTGACCTCAATGTGCAGCTAACACTAATCTTCAAAAATACAATAATTATACCTAAGCCATAAACATGTATTGAGCTATGTGTTGGTCACTTTTTGAAGGTTATGAAAAATTCTATTTTCTGAAGGGTTCACATACAAGTATTTTTTCAATTTGCTCCAAAACAAAACAAAATTTCACGCATCAGAAAACTAAAAAGTTTTAAGTTAAAAGAAAATTAAAAAGAGAAGAAAAAAATAACAAAACACAGGTAGCCAAAGCCTGAGAAGCAGGCAAGGAGACTAAATTAAGACTATCCTAGGTGAAAACGGAGATGGTATTTAACGAGGATCATAAGATGCAGGAATAAAGAGAAGATGAAGACTCAAGATTAAGATACTACAGGCAGGAAGAATGAGAGATTTGTTCCTAGATTCCTGGTCTCAGTGTTTGTGTATCTGGTGTCTTGTATAGGGATGTCACTCATAGGTAATAAATAACATAAAAGGACTAAATTCTATGAGGCTGATCATGAATTCAAAATTAGGCATGTTGAGTTTGAGGTATTATGGAATACACAGAAAGACTGAAGCCTTTTAATGAGGGTCAAGACTTAAGGTGAGAGTATTGAGTCATGCTTGTGAATGGGGCATCTGTCCAAAGACTAAATCCATGCTGGAGAGATAAAGCGGTTTCTCAGAACCTCGGAGAATGTATATTTACAAGGCATATGGAAAAGCCAGTAGAAGTGCCTAGTGAAGGGGAAGCCATATAAATAAGATGAGAAGATAATAATAGCGAAAAGTGTCATTTTCATTGGATACAGGGAATATGCCAGGGCCTAAAACAAGTGTCTAGGGGAATTTGGCAAATCGTTGGTCATTAGTGATTTGGCAAAAGCAATTCCAGCTTCAGACAGTGAAATAAACAATGAATGGGTGGTCAGGAACACACACAGGTTCTTTCCAGAAGGAGAGTTAGAGCCGCAGTTAGAGGCTAACAATGGTTCAAAGAAGGGTTTTGCTAAGGGAAAAGAGTTTATAAAAAAGGAGTTAACAGAGAACAATGGAAGAGGAGAGTGAAAGGAGACAAAATTTCTGAACAAGAATATTATTTCAGTGTGGAAAGGAAGCTTATACTCAGAAAGGAAGGAAGACAGTATGAATATATGGGAATATAGGTGGATGCTGATACGAGGCAGAAAGCAGCTGGAGACCTCTCATGACATGTATTCTCTCAATTAGAGAAAAGAAATGGTCAGTCTCTGAAAAGCTATAAGGATATGCTGACGTAGAGCACATAATCCTTAGGAATGGGAGCAGAAGCGACTGGGGACAAACAGAAGCTCTGCAACTGAACAAAGAAGATGAGGCTTCCATGACAGAAATACTGGACTTCATCTCGAAGGCAATGGGAACCACTGGAAGATCTTAAGAAACAGCATGAGCAGCTTCGTATTTTGAACTATATGCTACATGTTTATACTAGTTTTAATCAATAAAAATCTCTATTTTTCTGAACTGATCTAGAATATACTCATAAAACCTGAAAATTCTTAAAATTCCATATTGTATTGAAGTGTACCATTTGTAAATTATAAAACAAACCTCGATATACCACTAAACTATTAAAAACATTTTCTTATGTATAATGTAAAAATATATAAATAGAAAAAGGCACTAAGTTGATTTTTTGAATGTTGACCTTATTTACAATTTTAAGTATGATGCAAATAAACTTCATTAAAAGGCAATCAGGGGGCGCCTGGGTAGCTCAGTTGGTTGAGTGTCTTCCTTCAGTTCAGGTCATGATCCCAGGGTCCTGGAATCGAGTCCCACATCAGGCTCCCTGCTCAGTGGGGAGCCTGCTCATCCCTCTCCCTCTGCCACTCCCCCTGCTTGTGCTCTGTCTCTCTCTCAAATAAAACAAAATCTTTAAAAAAAAAAAAAAGGCAATCAGGCCAAGTATGACTTTTTGTGACATTTAAGCTCTGTCCTAATATTTCTAAAAGATAAAAAAAGCACCTTGAGCTTGTACCCCAATGATAATATAAATCCCTAATCTACCGTGAAGAACTTCTAAGAGGGGCACCTGGGTGACTCAGTCGGTTAAGCATCCAACTCTTGACTTTGGCTCAGGTCATGATCTCAGGGTTGTGAGACTGAGTCCCATGTCAGGCTCCACGTCGGGTGGGGGAGCTTGTTTAATATTCTCTCTCTTCCTCTTCCTCTCCCTTTGTCCCTCCCCCCACCCGAAATTTAAAAATTAAAAAAAAATTTTTTTTAAATAAAAGAATTCTAAGAAATTACCTGCTTAAATGTGATTTAAATCCTTTAGTAATCCTTTAGTAAGTCTTTGACTCTTTTATTAAAGGATTCATTTCTAAAGATACAAAACAGGGGTGCCTGAGTGGCTCAGTTGGCTAAACATCTGACTCTTGATTTCAGCTCAGGGTCATGAGATCGAGCCCCAGTCGGGCTCCACACTGGGCGTGAAGCCTGCTTAAGATTCTCTCTCTCCTTCTCCCTCTGCCCTTCCCCCACTCTCTCTCTCTCTAAAAAAAAAAAAGAAAGAGAAGAAAGAAAAGAAATATAAAACAAAGCTACATGGCTTAGAAATAGTAGCTAACAAGCACTTCCTTCCAATGGGATTCAGGTCACCCTAATACCCAAAATCATTTCCCAATCCTCCTTCTACTTCTCTTCCTCCTCATACCTCAAAACTTCTAAATGGTACCTTCATGTTGATTTTTTTTAAAGTTGAGAGTTTTTCTTAATTCTGATTTTCATCCTGACATCCTCCCACCTGCCACTGCTTACTGTCCACCTGCCATAAAGAGAGGCAGAATGGGAGAGGTTGAAATCTATTCAGAAGGTCTTCTGAAAACTGGATGCCAGTAATTACAATGGTGGACACTCAAGCCACAGACAACTTTCTTTGCAGTATTGCTACTGCAACACATATTCCTTGAATTCTGCCCACTAAAAATGTTAATAACTGAAAACATAATCTGACCTACCATCTTTTTTACTTTTCTTTGTTTTATAAATAACAATAGGATATTGACTAAAATCTACAATAATTAAAGCAGCAATTTAAATATACAATTCATCGTGTATTTTTTAATCCATCTTCCATTACATCAACTGTGTTACCATGTGCTAACTACCCGTTTACTGAATCTCA